CAAATGCCTTCAAACCAATAAACTAAACAAATCAGCACAATTTGGGATACGTACCCATATCCATAGAACGACTTTAAAATTTCCCTAGTCGAACTAAGAGACTGATTCTGCCGCATAACAGAAAAATGTTATGGCAAGGCCATGTTACGCTCCAACTTCCATACATTATGCTACTGAATCATAATTCAGGCGTTTTACACAAACTGCAACGTCACTCGTATGTTATGAAGCTAGATCAGAAAGACCCTGTTATTTAAGATAGTTTTTTTTGACATTTGTGCGATTAGGTTAGGTTTTCTATCTGTAACCTGAGAATTACGCCTGACTGCACACCAACCACATAGCTTTTGTCAATATTTGGGAAGGAAAGTTCTTCATAACATGGCTTTGCTATAACATTTTTCTTTTATCCGGCAGAATCGGTCCATATGAGTTTTATTTAATTTTGTTTGTTAAATTTAATTAAATATTAGATGAGACTTGCTGTCGCCAGCACGATTGTCTGGTGGTCCTATGATCTTGGTCTCTGGGGAGATGCCCGAGCAACTGAACAATTATGGTCAAATGCCAAATGCACCATTTTCCGAAATCCTGCGGCAAGATTAGCCTCATTAGAAAACGAACACAGTATGTCGAAGTTGGAATTAATGTCTTCATCTAAAGTGATGAAAACTACAAATTAAAGACCTTTTAATTAAATTATGATATTGGATGCTAGAAGCGAAATGTATGGTGGAAGCAAAAATTAACAGGAGATAGCGCATATATGTATATTTTGACAATGAATTTGGTATTTTTATATTTAGGCTGTTATTGTCTTTAAATTATATTTGTATTGATTTAAATGAATGTGATTTATATTGCTATAACTCAATGATTGATTTTATGGTATAAGCAAATTTATTATATAAAAAAACTAGTTTTTCATAAATATTTTGGTAAAAAATGAGTTTTGTATAACAATATATAAAACTGTTGTGAAAATATCGCCGTTGTAAAAATTAACCGGTGTTATAAGATTCGTTCAAAATGATAAATTAATTCGCCTAGTTTTTAGATGCAGACTTCATCGTCTTGGTATAAATGTTTCGGTTGATGCAAAAGGTTCAAATATTAATACACCGTAATACAATACAAATATAAATACAGTGTTATATTAAAGACTTTGCAAAAACTTTTGAATAACTTTTTGGAAAAAAATTATATGAAATGTTGAAGATCAGTATCATCAAACGATAATATTGATGCACACTAAAAGTACGTAATGTTGAATCTGCATTATGAAATATAATTCATTTAGAAGATTAATTGAATTAACCAAGAAAACTTCTTTACTCTAATATATTACTCTTAATATATTACTTTTAATTCAATAATTAATAAATCGACTAATAATATTAACTAATCATTAAAATAAGTAAATTTAAGTTTAAAATAATATACAATTTTATGAACATAAACTGTAAGTAATAAATATAATTATTATCGGAGAATTATACAATCATAACGAGACTGTAGATTAGATTTATACAATTACAATTTTAATGTAAAATTTGATGAACGAAACTTATTAGTAAATGATAAATATTAGATGAACTTAAGGAATAAATTTAGATCATTATTTTTAGTGTAAAATTGTATTATGGTGAGAATTGGTGATATAGTGAAATATAATTTTAATAATAAATTCAAAATTACAAGGAGATTGAATCATGGAATAATAATAGCCAATAATATGTTTAATATGAATTTGTTTAAACAAATTAGATGAGTAAGTGATTAATATTATTTCAATTGCAGTCAACGAATAAACATTGGTACGGAACTTATAGAAAATAAACAAAATCCTTTCTTATTATTAATATCTCTATGAAATATCTGATAATTTGATGTGCATATGTCTATTCATTTTTGATCACTTGATCATTTTCAAAATCATTGAAATCGGATCACTTTTGGCACTTTTTGCCACGAACCTTCGAAACGACTGTACTTGTCTTTGCCAAAAACTAATCAGTACACAAATATTCAGAAACCTTTGAAACATAAAGATATATAGAAAATTTCATTTTTGATTTTTTTGCGATTACTAACTATAACTAATTACTTACCCTACGGGTAGTTAAAAACAAGAGAAGGGAAGGGAATCATTGAATTGAGGTGCTCCCATACTATCGACCTGCCATCGGACAGATTACTATTTATTATTGTTATCGCATTGAATGATAAACCATTACATTTCACCTACAGAAAATGCTGTAAGTGAGCAATAAATAAGATAGTAGCAAACGAGTTGCTTAGAATAAATTTCTATTTTGAATTGAGTCTAAAATAAATTGAGTTATATATAGTGCAACAGAAACCAATTTCTTTGTAAACTGTGAAAAAAACATTGTATTGAAAATCAATTATGCATCAGATTAATTCCCTAGTCACGTATAGATTCCATAGGCCCCACTTTTCTCATTTTCCCGGTTCAGCTTTGAGCGTCGCGGCGCTAAAAATATAACGCACACGCATCTTGAACACAGGGAGGTAGCCCAAGGATAAAAGAAAATTTTAAGAGAATTTTAGTAAAATTATTAACTATTAACTAAATTAAATAATTATAATAATGTATCAAGTTATAAAAATGCCAAATTCGATAGGGTAGGACACAATTGTCCACTATGATGACGCAATAAATAACACATATCAAACAAACAATTATATTACATGTTCATTAAAAATTCCTGTTAATTCATTATCGTAAGAATGTGTATTTTTACTGCTTTTCAAAAATTCGTCACTTGGTATCTTTTTAAACCGTAGACGGGGTAAAATGGGACGACGGTGAGAATAACAGGCCTTAATTTTATTTTGCATTTTAAAGAGATTTTACGATCTCTTTAAAATGAATAATATAAGTTTCATGGTTACATTTTTTACAGAGAAAACATTGTATATAACCTTGATCTGGTATTTTGTCAGAAATATTTACCGATTAAGTTGAAACAACTATTTATTTGATTTATTTCGTATAAAATTGCTTTTTTCAATTAATATTTTTAATCTTCTAGTATTTATTGTTTGGTTGGTCCTTTTTACTCCATTTACGCGTAAGATCACATTAGCCATGTAATAATTAAACTAGAAAAATTTTTTTAGTACGGACATCACTAACTTGCATCTAATTTGAGTATTCTAAAGCATTTTTCAGAATAATTATATTTATCGTGGACATGTGCTAATATATTTTATATAACTCCTAATAATTTTTTCATAATCTTTAAAGTACTTTGTCCATAACTTGCAATGATGGATGCATTTTGAATATTATAAACGTAAAAATCTAAGTAAGGATAATTTATAATACTATCGTAAAAGTGTTCAGTAAATGTTACATTTTTTATTAGCTATTTAAAAATATATTTTACTTTTATCTGTCGTGAATTTCATGATTGATTATAGTGGGCATTTACAAATATACTTTATTAAACTATTCTAATTTAATAATTCCTTATTATTTCATTCAATTATTAATTCTTAATCATTTATTAATAAGTTTTAAAGTATTCTGTCGTGTTTAGTAAGCAAAATAGAAAAAAAGTTTATAATATTTTTTTTTAATTTTAAACTCAATATTAGTTATTTAATAATGTAATATATATTACTAACAATGCATATTATATAGTTATACGTTTTTATGATTTCTGAATCTAATCTAAACAATATTTTAATTACATTCCAATAAGTTTCTAGATCTCATAAGATTCCAATTAAGTTTTTTCTAATAAGATTCAAATAATATTATGCCAATGACAAACTAAAAATCGCTTTGGCAATGCGATATTTAAAATAACAATATTAATCACAAACATTTTTTTCTAATAATAATATAGTAATAAAATGCCAATAAAATTCTAATATTATGCCCATGGCAAATTTAAAATCGGTTATTGCAATTTATGCAGTACGATATTTAAATTACCTATGATAATACTAAAACTGATTTTTCCTGTTCAATGATAAATTTATAGTTAAAGAAAAGTCAATTTAGTCTTATTTATATTTTTAAAACATTTTCTACCCATGGAAACCATGTTAAGCTTTTGATATTAGATACGATTGTTATTAAGAAGAAAAAAATATCATGAGTGTAAAATAAAACTTTGTAATATAAATATATGAAAAACATAAAGAAAATATCACAGAAATAAGCTAATATATCGCCCTTGTTTATTAGCATTTTGAATTATAATTGATTATTAATATTTATATTTTGCGGTATTTTCATCTAATTTTAAGTAATTCTTAGACAGTTGAATATGAATATGTAATTTAAGAATTATACTTTATCTTGGAAAGAATAATATTCGAAAGTAAACAAGATATCTTATTATGTATTAATTGAGTGAAATATGTATTTAAAGGATTTTTTTTATTCATTCATATTATATAACAATCAGAGTTATTTACATACCCTATGAGTTATATGGCTAAATTACACATAATAATAATAATAATAATCACAGAAAGAAATAATAAAAAAAAATAATAATAATAATAATAATAAATAAATGAAAATGAATTAAAAGTAAAAAAATAGATAAATAAAAATAACAAAAAAAAAACAAATTGTATTAATTGCTCCAATAAGCAATTGACTATGAAAAATTTTTCTACATTAAGTCTATAGGCTGTTTTTAAAGGATTATTGTATCTACTAAGTTTGAATCTCTAGGTACTATTTTTAGCTTTATACAATATTCCGTTTTTTCCATAAAACACCCATTTTGGCACACAACTTTGGTGTCAACTTACGACTTATTATCATTTAATTATTAATTATATCAAATTTACTATTATTTTTATTAGATTCTCAGCATCTAGTCCCAGATACGTCCCAGTCAACATAATAGCTTGTAGCAAAAAAATCAGGCACGATCGTGATCCAGTAAGGTTTAGTGAGCTACAGCTCTCATTATGAGAAGGACTAATTGTGTAACAGTTCTGAACAAATAAATAATGACACCATGTGCTAAATGTGTGATGTGATATAAAATAAATCGTGATATTTAAATAATGTTCAAAGAAGCTATGAATTCTTCGAACGATTGTGAAAAGTAATGGGTAAAAAATTCAACGGTTATTCATTGCCAAAATGGATGTTAATTTGTGTAATTTTGCTGATGTCCGGTGGTTGGTTTCCATCAGGAAAGGCTTCGCAGGAGGGAGAAATGTGAGTAAAAAATAATAATAATAATATAAATGAATTGGTTATAACAAATTAGTAGAGAGACAAAATATGAGGATTTTTGAGAAAAACCAAAATAATTTGCATGACATCTTACTACTTTATTGTTGTGTGTTAATTGCATATTTTATAATGCTAATTTATTTCAATTGTGACCATAAATTATAATGTAGCCAGAATGTAATAATATAAGTATATCAATTTATTCACATTTAATACATTTTTATTTTAGTTTTTAATTTGAGTTTTATTTTATTTTTTATTTGATTTTAATCTTGAATTAATTTATATTGCTTATATATACTCGTATATATATACAATTAAGATGATATATTATTGAAATTCAGAATTTTCAATATTATTGGCCTTTTAAAGCATGATAATGAAAAAAATCATAAACATCAATTAATATAAATAATATTAATTAAACGAAAATAAATTTATTAAAAAAATAAATATGTCTTTAAGCTTCTGCCTTACAGATATTTTTACTTGATAAGTATTTTTCATAATTTTCTAAATTTTTCTCCGAATTTTTAATTTATTTTTGAATGCTCCAATATTTTTCAAATAATTAAGATGATACCATAATAAAGCACAGTATTTTCAATATCATTGGCCTTTTTTAAGCATGATAATGAAATAAATTTCATGATTATTAATATAAATAAAAAAGATTAATTAAACAAAAATAAATATATTGAAAAAAAAATAGTTATTTTTTAAGCTTCCAATCAATACGTTCAACACCTTACAGATATTTTTAATTGATTTTTATTTTTTTTTTTCTATTTTTATAAATTTTTATTCAAAGTTTTATTTTATTTTGAATTCCCCAATAAATTTATTAATCTGTATTGCTTGTTTAAATAATTAAGTCGATACAACATTATGACATCGTTAATATTATTGTTTGTTGGCCCTTTTAAGCATGATAATAATTATTTTTTGGTTATTAATATATTAAAAAAATATTAATTAAACGAAAATACATATATTAAAGCAACACTTTTAATATATTTTAAGCTTTTAATAAATACGTTCCACACCCTACAGATATTTTCACTTGATTTATATTTTTGTTCCATTTTTTTCTAAATTTTTGTTTAAATTTTTATTTCATTTTTGAATGCCCAAATAAATTTATTAATTGATATTGCTTTTTCAAATAATTAAGATGATACCACATTAAAGCATAGTATTTTCAATATCATTGGCCCTTTTTAAGCAAGATAATGAAAAAAAAACAAATATTAAAATATTTTAAAAAGATTAATTAAACGTGAATAAATATAATAAATTTTAATAAGCTTCTAATAAACACGTTCCACACCTTACATATATTTTTACTTGATTTGTATTTTTTTCCTATGATTCTAATTTTTTTAAATTGATGTGGAAAACAGTTTCTAGAAAATGTAGTATTTAAATAAGTAAATTCAAATATCAACTTCATTAAATGATGTTTTGTTATATTTTTTATTGTATAAAAAAGTCTGGTTTGATCAAAGTTAATGGTGAAAATTTATTCAAATGGCATTTGAACATATTTAAAAATAGCCCATACAATGTATTAAGCCAACCATTAACACTATATCTGAAATTAATGCCGATTTTATTTAAAAAGTGTATATCTGGCTCATATCCAATCATCAAAAAAATCTAAACAATAATTAATTAAAATAGTTCATTTGATGCTTCATGTAATTTCAATATTAAAACTATGAAGTATAGTAATTTATTGAAATTTAATTGTTCGGTTAATTTATATGTTGAAATTTAAACAAGAAAAATTAATAAAGTTACTGTCAGTACAAGAAAAAATCATACAATTAATAATTTAAAAAATAAAATGTTAATAGTTCAAAAATAAATATATTATTGTACCCAAAAAATAGTACCATTACTGAAATAAAAAACGCAATTTATATTTCCTTCAGGCTACTACTTCATTTAAAATTGCTTTACTTAAATTTCTTTTAATAAACTATTATATTGGCAAAATCATTGCCAAACATTAAATCATGATCACATTCGAATAAATAACAACATCATTTTTTAATTATTTTAGAATTGCAAAATGGGCAGAAACATTAGGAGACGAGTTGTGGGAATTGGGACAAAGAGTTACTAAAGCACCTGAAATTAAAAAGGTTTGAATAAATGTCCTTTCATATATTTTAAAATATTATTTGTTAAAATTTGATATTAATTTCCTATGTAAACTTTCAGAGATATAAAGAATTGAATGCACGTGTCGAACATAAAGATGGAGACAGTCTTATGGATTCGATTGTCGAAAATGTTGGTAGGATGTTGTTACGAAAAATGGAAGCCGTAAAAGTGAGTTTTTTTTTTTAAAAAAAATTAGTATCATGTTACATTGTCATTAACATTGTTCATTTTCAGTGCATCCTTACTACTGCTGAAAATGTTGCAGAACAATTTGAATCCAACAATACCGAACAAAACTTCACGTATTATTCTTCAAAATACTCACAAGTAACGTATAACATAATTAATAAGTAATTAATCCATAATGATTAATATGGATTTCATTACATTAATTAATTTTTAGATTGAAGGAGAAGAGGAAATGGAACTGCCTGATGGTGTGAGTCAAAATGAATGGTTGTATCGACCAATGGCTCTAAATCCTGATACTCATTTTTATAATATATCTGTAAATACCAATTATAGTGCAGTACATGTACCCACAAATGTTTATGATAGAGGTAAAAAATATACTATTAATATGTTTTAAGTCAAACCCAATCACACCTCTAACTTATTGATCTGTTAAGTATACATTTAACACTAATTTATTTATTGAGTTAACTGTATTTATGAAAATGATATTTTAGGACCAGTAGTAGCAGAAACTATACAATGGTCTGAAGCATTGGATGAAGTATTTGTACAGAATTATAATGCTGATCCTGCTCTATCATGGCAGTATTTTGGAACATCTACAGGAATTATGAGACAATATCCAGGCAAGTTTAGAGATATTACCTACTTTTATGGACCGATTCTTCTGCACAACAGACCAATGCTATGGCAAGGCGATGATTCGCTGCAACTTGCATATATTATGCTACTGAATTATACTAAATACTGCCCAAATGTCAAGTTTTTGCTATGCATTCAGGTTTTATACATAAACTGCAACGTCACTTGTATATTATGAAGCTGGGTGAGAAAGACCCTGTTATCTAAGATCGCTGTTTTGACATTTGTGCAGATTCTAGGTTAGTTTTTCTATCTGACAACCTAAGAAGAAGGCCTGACTGCATAGCAACAACATGGCTTTTGACAATATTTAGAATGATTTAGTATGGAAAGTTCTACATAACATAGCCTTCCCATAACAATGTTCGGTTGTACGCCAAAATCATTCCATTAAAGCCATTCATTAAAACTTAAGTTGTTTTACTTTCTACCATTTACCATTTATTATTAAATTTAGCTTTTTCTACTTTTTCAATAAAATTAATGGTATTTGTGTACTATATGTTGCTTTGATTTGTGTACTTGTTGCCCCGTATTTTCAAACCGGCTAGACCTGCTTATGTCAAAAACTAATCAGCACGTTTCCTTATTAATAAGAATCGAATGTTTTTTGGATAATTGAAATTAGTTGAACCGTGTTCCCGAAATCGTCGACAAACATTTGTATCCGCACACACACATACATCCATTTTTTTCAGAAACCTCTGAAACCTAAAGTTATATAAAAATTTTCAGTTTCGATTTTTTTGCGATTACTCTAATTTGCCCTGCGGGAAGTTAAAAATATTGTCCAAAATTGTCAATTAGTTTACTCTCATATATAAGTTCGTCGAAATCGAGTAAATAATGAATATTTTATCATTTTAGCAATGCAGTGGAAAGATGGTCAGAAAAATAAACCGGTAGATCTCTTCGATTGTCGTTCCCGTTCTTGGTACATCGAAGCTGCAACTTGTTCCAAAGATGTAGTTATTTTATTGGACAATTCTGGTTCCATGTATGGATTTAGGAACCACATTGCTCGACTCACAGTCAAAAGCATATTAGATACATTCTCTAATAACGATTTTGTGAATATCTATAACTTTTCAAAGGGCATAGATGGCGTCGTACCTTGTTTCAATGATACTCTGGTTCAGGCTACTCCTGAAAACATCAGGATTTTTAATGAAGCAATTGCTGAGATTGTTCCGGAGGGAAATGCTAATGTTTCGAATGCGTTTACGAAAGCTTTTCAATTGCTGGAGTCAGTAAGTTGGAAACTATATATATATATTTTTTTACTCATAAATATAAACGATACAATTTTCACAAATTTCTTGTTTTGAGATAATTTTCTTCGTCGAAAGAAAATAGTAAACTATTTTATAGATATTACCAGTCAATAATGCAAAGTATTTAATTTAATTATAATTTAAATATTAAATAGTTCTGTAGCATGTTTCTATAAAATATCATTAATTAAAATAATTGTTTCCAAATAAAGTAAAATTTCGACTTTCTTTTTAGTATCGTGAAAAACGTAAATGCAGTGCAACTGAGGGTTGTAACCAAGCCATCATGCTGGTAACCGATGGTGTACCAGGAAATATAACAGAAGTTTTTGAAAAATACAATTGGTTAGATAATGGCACCAGAATTCCTGTCAGAATATTCACATATCTCATAGGAAGAGAGGTCACCAAAGTCAAAGAAATTCAACTTATGGCATGTATGAACAGAGGTAAATATGATCGAATTTTTGTATAATTCAGAAGTAATTTGCAAACATATTTCTTTCCCATTGCCTCTGGGTAATCTGCACAAGTCTAAAGTCAAAATTGGGGATCAAATGGCAAAAAATTGAAAAAAAAAATTGAGGATACCACAAAATCTCTGATCTAGTAATTCTCCTGCATCAATAATCATTATCTCAATTTCTGTCATTTAAACTCCAGAAATTCCTGGGTATTTTACCCTAAATGACTAGAATTTCAATTAAATCATCTATTGAGTTTTTTTTGTATAATTTAGCAGTAATTTGCAAACATAATTCTTCCTCATTGCCCCTGGGTAATCTGCAACTATGTGTGCAAATTGAATATGTATTAGCAAATAATTGCTGTATTCTAGTGAAGTCATTTAAGGGGGTGTCCATTAATCATGTGAGCGAGTTTTAAAGGATTTTTGGACCCCCCTCCCCCTTGATGATACATGGTAATAATCAAAATTAACCCCCCCTCCCCCGTGAAAAACTGTAACATTTTTGAATTTTTTTTGAAAATGTTTGAACTTTTTTAAAAAGGAATTGTTAAAAAATAAATATACGTGGTATCTTACTATAGCCCTCCGTCTCCCACATGATATTTTGTGATTTTTTGTCAAACCCACCCTCCCCCTAAAAACCTCACATGGTTAATGAACGCCCCCTAATGAAGAAAGAGCTAGGACAAATTATAAGATTTTAAATATCTTGCAAACATTTTCAAATATTTTAAAAATCTTATGCAATTTGACCCCAAATTCTTCAGACTTCAGACCCAATACGGACAAGTTTTTTATTTTGTGGACCTATATTATATATTATCTATAATTTATTATATTTTCTAGGATATTATGTCCACATCACTTCAATGAATGGAGTCCAACAACAAGTAATTAAGTATATTCAAGTAATAGCCCGACCTTTAGTATTGCAAAACGAGGATCATCCTGTGACATGGACTCATGCATACGCCGATATAACGGTAACATTAATTTTAAAATAATTTAGTTTACATATACTTTGCTTATTGATAGAAATAAAAATCAATTTTTGAAAATCCTAA